CCTAACCAAACCACACCGTTTAACCGATTCCTTCCACAAAAATGCACTGGCAAGCAACCGTCCTCCAGAGGCTTCAGGAAGTGGATCGTTGAGAACGCAGCAGTCTGGAGTCCTGGAGAAGCAAAAATTTAAGCCTTCTCTTAATCACCTGGAACTCTCACACTGGACGTTGGCTTCCTTTCAGCTAAGAAACGGATGGGAACACAGGCATAGTGGTTTGTAAACCATGGGTTTAGGGCTCAGCCTGGTGCACATCTCAGGTTTAACTATTCATTTGAGGGATAGGCCTGGACTTAGCTGTTGAGAAGCCATTCGATTTCTCAAGCCATTGGTGAAATTGAGGAGCAGGAAGTTTTACAACCAGGAAGTGTTGTACTTTTAACAAATGGGGAAAGAGGAACAATAAGTGTTTACAAGCCCTGCATGAAAGCAAGGCATTCCCAGGGAACTTCCTCTAGTTGTTACTAGGAAAATGCATCAACTATATTGACACAGCATCCTTTGTGATCCCTTGTTAGGCATTATTTATTGAATTAACCCAAGTTAAGTCAGATTCATAGAACATGCTAAGCCATAAACCATGATACCTATTGCAGCTCTTTATAAGCTGGGTTCAAATGATCTGCTCAGCCTAGAACAAGCAACCTGTATTATAGCTTGACATGATATATGAAGGAAGTGATTATTTCTGACTTCAGTGGGTTTGGGAAGATAAAAAAAAAACTTTGCCTACGCCCTAAAGATCTTGGTGGAAGCTTGGCATGGCCAAAAACGTTCTCAAGATTTTTTAAAAATGGGAAGGTGTTGAATTATGCCTTACACCATACCTTCCTATTGGCCATGCCTGCTCAACTAGTGTCCACGTTCCCTATTCTTGATTCCATGTAGAACTCATGGTCTAGTTGAAATCCAGGGGTTGATATTACTAATCAAAGGACCATTTCAAGGACTGGCATGGTTGATTGAATTAAGTCACTAACAATGGTAAAAATATGTTGGTGGCACTTAATCATAATACCCTAGGATGGCAAGAGAAGGTGGGTATTCAGTACAAAACGAATTAACTACGGCTACTCACAGAAGCAACTCTTCCAGATCAGTTGTGGAGATGGGCTTCCAACTTGACCATCTTCCACTGGTGACTTGTAATTGCTACTAATTTTTCACCTTTGAGGCAAGGGAGAAAACCTTTGGTCTGGAGAAGCAGAATTGTAGGATAAGCTCTCTTCAATGAACTTCTTGAGTTTAAAGAGGCAAGCCTACCTGTATCTAACTCCTGGGGCCATTGTTGTCTGACCTTCTCTAATCTTCTCTCCAGGTGTGTGGAACCTCAACTTCCATAATGTTCCAACCATGCTACTATCACAATCAAAGCCCAGGAGAACTAGTGGTCCCTACTTCTGTCCAGGGGTTTCAAATCAAGTATTTATTGGTGGTTTCCTAAAAAATATTCAACAGCTTAGGAACCAAAACAAAGCCTGCCTAATTTTATAGGTTAGAGAACAGGTCCCTCAAAGATTGGACCATCTGGGGCAAAACCAGAACCTCAGACCTTGAATGATCCCAATTTAGATGAGGGGCATGGAGATTAGGGGGCATAGAGGCTAAAACAAGCGAAGAATGGTTGCAGGAATTGGATATGTCTAGTGTAGTGAAAAGAAGGGGTGATGTGATAGCAGTGTTCCAACATTTGAGGGGCTGCCACAAAGAAGAGTGGGTCAACTTATTTTTCAAAGCACCTGAAGGCAAAATGAGAAACAAATGGAATCTAATCAAGGAGAAACAACCTAGAACCAAGGAGAAATTTCCTAACAGTGAGAACAATCAACCAGTGGAATATATTGCCTTCAGAAGTTGTGGATGTTCCATCACTGGAGGCTTTTAAGAAGAGACTGTACACAGCCACTTTTCTAGAATGGTGTAGGCCCGTGATGGCGAACCTATGGCACGTGTGCCACAGGTGGCACGCAGAGGCTTTTGTGCCGGCACACAAGCTGCAGGCAAACTTACCTCACTGCGCATGCGTGCGCCTCACAGCTGATTTTTGGCTGGTTTGAGGCCTTTTTCGGCCTCCCAGAAGCTTGAGGAAGGCCTTTGGCAGCCTTTGGCAGCCAAAAAATAGGCCCATTTCATCACTTCCTGTAATACTGGAAGTGACGAAACGGGCCTATTTTTCGGCCTGCAAAGGCTGCCAAAGGCCTTCCTCAAGTCTCTTGAGAGGCTGAAAAAGGCCTCAAACCAGCCGAAAATCAACTGGGAGGCGCAGTGCAGGTAAGCGGGCAGCATGGTGGGGGGGAGAACGGGGGATTGCGCGCACATGCGCAGGAGGCGCATTGCCTTCTGGCACATTTTTTGGCACGGGAGCCCAAAAAGGTTAACCACCACTGGTGTAGGCTCTCCTGCTTGAGCAGCAGATTGGACTAAAAGATCTCCAAGGTTCCTTCCAACTCTTATTCAGTTCATTCATCGCTTTGGGGTTTTTTTTGGGGGGGGGAGGCAATTTTACTGTGGGCCTCCTCCTGGATAAAAGACCACGGCGATGAGAAATAGCTCAATTTCTTGAACCCGAGATGCCCTCCTCCAACTATTTGATCTTCGACACGACCCAAAGTTCATTTCCAGATTTCTTTTAAAGGATGTTTCTAACTTTTTTTTTTTAAAAATCAATCCAATGAGAAATTGGGTTCCTGCCAAGCAATGTGCTAACCTTCAGCCTGATCTTTATTTCCAAGAAACCGTCTCAGGCTCCTCCTTGTTACCCTCCAGGCCTTTTTAGGAAATAAAAAGGAAATAAAATATAGCTGTAATCAAGGGCTCTGTTTGAAAGAAAACAAAACAATTTGGTATTTTCTTGGGCAACTCGCAAGGATAGCAGAGGATTCAATGTCTATGAATTGGTCTCCTTGATCCAAGGTTGTCCCAAAGACTGTTTTTTTTTCCCCAAAAGGCAACTGGACTTTGTTTTTCCTTGAAGATGTTTCACTACTCACCCAAGAAGCTTCTTTAGTCCTTCAGGATTCAACGTCCTACTTTGCTTTCTGCTACCCGAAAGCTGAGCTGGCCGGGCCCGCCATGAAAGCCACAATATGAAAGCCATAATATTGCAACGGCGCTCACAAACTAGCTTCCAAAATCCCCCTCTCCCATTGGACACCTCTACTACAAAAACCAGCTGTCGTCTGTCCTACCCATGAATCTACCGCCCATCCCAACATAATGCTCCCATTCTAACACAACAGAAATTATGCCGGGGGGGAAGGGTGTGGAGTTCCTTATTCCTGTTCTATCTAGGTTTACAATGGGAGTTGGCTGTTCAGAAATAATCACAAGGTCATGCTAGATTAAACACAGGAACTCTCTAAAGTGGGTGTGTTGATACAGGCTACAATCCTGAAAGATGAGGTCCAAAGCAGAAAACTTTACTTGAACATGGGGTGGCTTTCACCTTTAAGAGAGAAACTCTCCTATCACATCTACAGACAGACGACTCTAGATCTGTAATATCAGAGCTGCCCTGCAACCTTCACTCATCTTAAGAGGTATATGTGTGCTTAGATAGTAGATAGAATGATAGATAGAATGATAGAATGATAGTAGACAAAGATATAGAGATATAGATAGAAGAGATAGATGGATGATGGATGGATGGATGGATGGATTGGTAGGTAGGTAGGTTGATAGACAGAAAGATATGATAGATAGATAGATAGATGATAGATAGATAGATAGATAGATAGATAGATAGATAGATAGATAGATAGATAGATAGATA